CATGGTACAGTAAGAGCGAATAATGGGGGTTAAGACCTTTGAGGAAATAAAAGGTTGGGTTGGAGGTATCAAAATGAAAAGTAGGAACGTATTGGTTTTCCGTGAGAGCAATGAGAAAAATCGCGAGAGGGTTTTACAAGGAAGAAGATGAAGAAGTTTTGTCTTTGCAAGTGAGGAAGAAGAGGAAGTGGTTTTCTTTACACGAAGAGTTTTAATAAACCCTGTGATTTGACTTGAAATGGCGTGATGATTATAGTGACACGTTGAGTTGCGGACTTCCAACCGTCACATTTTGCGGCAATCAAGGTCTGACAATTGGAAGTCAGGTGGGAGTGGGCAAGTTGTTGAATGTAAAAAATGTTCAAAGTTCAGAATTTAGGGTTTCGGCCCAAAATAAAGAAGGGGATGGGCCCAGTGGTGGAACTAGTATGGTTTTTACTGAATCGAGGTCCAGCCGAACGATAAGGGCCTAGAAAGGCTGTCGGAATTGGTTAGTCGGTTAACTGTCTGAGAAGTCTGTCCGACTGGGAATATCTTGGTCGGTTGATTGTGAAGAAACCTACTGAGGTTTTTGGATTAGTGGTCAATGGTCACAACTGACTACGTTAACATAGGAAACAAAGGTTGTAACCAACAACGGTTCAACACACGATCTCAATAACCAACCGAGGAGCAGTTCAAGGCAGTTCGGATGGGTGTGTATAAGAGAGACTCCAACGAGATGATGTGGAGCATCTTCAATCAACAGTGATTTTAGAAAAAAACATCTTATTGGAGATCATCATTTTATATTCCTAGTTGTCTTTATTTAATCTTTAGCACTTTTATATACTGTGTTTAGAGATTCGTAATCTCAAATATTTTTATGTTCAAATTCAAAATATATTTTTGAATTTTTACTTTTTATTGTTGAATTTCGCACATTATAATATGGCACAAAAATATAAAAAAATAAAATTATTATTATAATAATCATTGTAGAATTAATGTTTATAGGGTGCATCTGTATTACTATTGCGCAATAATATAAAAATAATAATTTTTTAATTATAATAAATATAAATATATTATTTTGATAATCATCGTAAAATAATACTCCCTCCGTCCCGTGAAAGATAAACCCTTTTGTTAGGGATACGGTATTTTAGGTAGCGTAGGTTATTAAGTTATTAATAATAAGTTATGAAAATATTTTATTATTTTTTATATATGTAGTGTTGTTGATATTTTAAATATCTTTAGAATTATATCTCAATAAAATATATGCAATATGAATATCATTTTCTAGACAATAAAATGTTTTATAATACAAATGAATAAAAAATATATTTTTTATTTATCATTACCAGAAATTAGTTTTATAAAAAATGAGGTTTAAAAGTTGATAAAAATATTTGTTAATTGAGGAAAGAGATAAAAATAAAAGGGTTTTGGGTGGTCTTACGCGTAAGATGTTAGAAGTTTGATTAAATTGATTTATATTTGTTAAGTATGTTTAATATTGATAAAGTTATAAAAATGAAAAAGGATCATCTTTTGTGAAACGTATCAAAAAGGAAATGGGTGGGATGGAGAGAGTATGTTAGTATTAATTTTTTTTTTTTTTTTTTTTTCATATTATTGCGCCATATATATATAATTTTAAAGTTCAAAGTCACATATTAATTATTTATTTTTTGTATATTATTATATTTTTAAAATTGTGCCTAATGAAAATTGAATTTCAACCTTTTGAGATGTAAAATAGTTCATTTATCCTCGGTCATGTGTATTTAAATTTTTTATTTTATTAATTTTTTATTTTAAAAATAGATATGGTGGAAGGTGATTAGTCGGTATACAAGGCCACAATTCATTAAGAATAGGATAACTGAACACATTCTTCGTTCCGACTGTTCTTATAAAATAGAAATAAGAAGAAAAAACATCTGAATCAACTACATACAAATTATTATGAATAAAAAACAAGAAAAAAAATTTCTTACAGATTAGATTGTTCTTGTGGGGATAGCTTCTTCTCAAGCCAAATTTATGACTGACAACTTGAATAGTTTGAAGGAAGAACAATGTATTCGTAGTATTGTCCGTAACAAAAATCAGCTTGATCCAACTATGAACAAATCACAACAAAAATAAATAAGTTTAACTTTATATGAAATATGTTGGAAAATCAGTTAATTATTTAATCGATAGAATTTAACTTTAAATTAAATTCATAATTTTCGAAACCGATTATTCGGTGAGTTGAAATACATGTGGGTTGATGGCGGTTATTGATAGTGTGGTTAAGCAAATAAATGCCCGTAAGCCATAAGCTCACGTACTACTGCCCGAATCCAGAAATTATCACTACATGCATGTATGATACATTATTATTTGAAATTCTAAAATTCAAATAACATATTTATAACCGGAATTAAATATGGTGTTTATAGCCGGATGTTATCGGAATTATGATGGGCGGTTACCGGCCACTAAATGCGGACGGTTTCGACTCGGGAAATTAATTTCCCAAGGGGTGGAGGGCCTATAAAAAGATTATTCCCATCACCCCATTGTCACACCAAACCAAGAAGAGCTCGTCTCTTCCTTGTCTCCCTCGAGTGCTTTTCCGGAGAAGTTTCCGACGAGTTGTGCGGCACAAATTCGGCAACTCTTCCTTAAATATTAAACCTCCCAACATAGTATTTGTTCGGCTTATTTTAGTTCGTAGGAGCTCCGAAATATTGAAGTGCCACTTGATTCGGAGAGGAACGTCATTTTATCTTTGAGAATGTTGCACCACGAACCAGAGGCCGGAGCGTATTCATTTTTACGGAGAGAGGTTATACCTCAACTCAACGTAATTATCGAATTTACTTCGATAAATTATTGTGATTATTGATTTTATTTCGATAGATTGATTATCAAATTCATTTCGATATTATTAAATTTATTTCGGCAAAATTATTATGATATCGAATTTATTTCGATAATTATAGTATTATTATTATATTTCTAACAAAATCCGACTGTTCAACTCAGGGAAAAGAAATTACAAACTTCTAAGAATGAGAGAGTAAATAGTAGAATTAAACTTTGTACTCCAAAGTGCAATTGATATACAAACAAAATCACAACAGACGTACCAATATTTATAAAAGGGTCTTTTAAAATTATGTCCCAAGTCAAAACTATTTTGAAATAAATAGACCTCAAAGTTGTTTTGGAAACTAATTAATTTTGGTAAATTAAGGAGTTCCCAGAAGTCCTTATTGTAAATTTTTTTATTTTAATAAGAATTTAAATAGATAAATCTACCCTAATTTCTATTTCCCCAATTTTTCACTCCACGCGACGAAGCGAATCATTCTTAGCCTCCCCATCTTCCCCAATTTCTCACTCCCCGTGATGAAGCGAATTGTTCTTCGCCTCCCCACCAAAGCGAATCATTGCTCTTCCCGTGCCTCCCCACCGAAGTGAATCGCCACCGCCGTGGATGACTTCCGTGGCCCCAACACCATCGAAGCGAATCACTGTTCTTCCACGTTACTGACGAAGTGAATCGTTCTTCCCGTGACTCCCCACCGAAGCAAAATCGTTGTTCTTTTGTGCCTCCCCACCGAAGCGAATCGCCACCGCCGTCGGCGACTGCCGTTGCCCGAACACCACCGCTGCTGCTCCTACAATTCCACCGGCAGGTCAATCCCCTTCTTCCTCCCCTTTCTTCTTCCTTCAATTCCTAAAGTACTTGAGGTAATTTCTTTGATTTTGATTAATTTTGTGTTAGGGTTCTAATTTCTGGACTTTGTTGGTGTCATTTGGTTTTCTAATATTGTGGTGGGCAGTGGAGGCAGAGTTAAGAAAATACAAATCTTTATTTCTATTTTATATGCATTTTTATTTGATTACTTTATTCGTAATTTGCTATATTATTTCCATTTTTACAGAAGATTTAAGGATAATATTATGCATAAATATTATGATTTAAGGATAATATTATGCGTAATATTATGATTTAAGGATAATATTATGCATAAATATTTCAATTTTCGATTTGGTGCATTTATACTATGCTTTTATAAGGATAATAAATTTGTGTATTGTCATTATTTTCATTTCAATTATATTATTTTCAGATTATGTTTTCATATCGAGATGGATTGTCCGGCCCTATTAACGATCGATTGCTTCATCTTCAATCGACACATCATTCTGAACATATTTGGAATGGTGAGTTGATTGATCATAAGTTTAGTCTTGTTTGTCCCGAAAGATATTGGACTAGTATATCCTCATTATGCCATCCCGAGGTTCTTGAAATATTGCATCGAATTGGATTTTATGGGGTATATAGAGTTGGACATGTTAAGCACGATCCTGGTCTTCTTACAGCATTAGTCGAGCGTTGGCGTCCTGAAACACACACTTTTCATTTTACATTTGGTGAGGCTACAATCACATTAGAGGATGTTGCTATGATATATCAATTACCCATTGATGGTAAACCCGTTGTTAGTGCTGCCATGTCTAGGCAAACTAGAGAAGAAGCTTCTGCCCTATGCATAGAGTTGTTACACTTGCCTCTTACACCGGAATACTTCAAACATGAACCTTGGATTTTACATTCTACTTTAAATAATCATTTGAAAAAGTTTCAAATTGATAATGATAGTCCTGAAGGGGTAGTAGAGTGTTGGACTCGTGGGTTTATGCTACTTATGATTATGGGTAGCATACTTCCCTCTTCAGATGATAGTAAGGTTAAACTAACTTACTTATCATATATACGAGCACTTGACCTCTCTGAGAAGTATAGTTGGGGCAGCGCTTGTCTTGCATGCTGATATCATAATCTTTGTTCGGCTGTTATTGGACAAGATAGAAGGAAGCTTAGTGGTCCACTCACATTATTGCAGGTATAATATGTTAAAAAGAAAATATGTTATGACTATATGTTTAAAAATATTATTATAACATGTTAAATATTTTATTCACGATATACTTTGTTATTTCAGGTTTGGGCATGGTCTAGACTATACATGCTAGCTCCTCGAATTAAATCCATTAAATCTATTGATCTTGACCCTTTGATACTTCCTAATGGTCTAGTACTACCGGCTGCTCCTTATGGAGCTAAGTACGCAAATTATTTATATTTTATTACGATCATCCTTATGTTAAAATTTCATTATTTGTGGTTCTTAATATAATGTATAATATCCATTTGTTTTGTAGGTGGAGTCGTGGTAAACATAATTTTGCACTAACCATGCATAATTGTGTATCTTCTATTCAGGATATTCTTGATCACGAAGGAGATGGGCAGGTATTTTAATTATAGTGCAAACCTTTTTGTGGTGTATTCATTTTAATCAATTTATCTATATAATACTGTATTTATTTTCCATACAACTTAATTGACGGCCTTATGAACCTAACTTGTACAATTCCTTACCACATTCTTGTCCTTCAACCTTGTTTCGGTATAAAAGACCTTTATTTTATGAGCGCTGCGTCGAGCATCTTCACTTAGATAGGGTACTTCGACAGTTAGGTTTAATTCAACATATTTCGGATAATCCATCAATAGTGGAGAATAGGAACACACATAGTTCTTCACGAGGCTCAGACGCTAGAAATTGGTTGCGAATTTATGAAATATATATTCAACAGTGGTATGAGCCTAACTTGGTGATTGGTGAATCAAACTTGCATGATACGCCGTATACTCCAGAATATCTTCAGTGGTATAGAACTCATTCCAGAAGATTTATTTATAATCCTGAATTGCGTTCACGGATTGGCTATCCACCTGGGCTACCATCTTACAATCATTTTGCAGTAAATTTGTTCTTTATTTAACGCAATCTAATTATTGCATTTTGAAGAAATTATAATAATTATTATTTTTTGTGTATGTTAATCAATTGAGGCGTGCAGTCTAGTCCAAAACATTATTGACGTTTCACAAGATCGAGCAAAATTGGACATTTGAATCATATGAAACTACTTTCATAAATGATGATCAAGTCCACCTAAGTCCGGATCTTTATATTCACAGTGATTCTATTCACGCATTTGAGACTGGTGAAGGTAGTGGCATGCACGAAAGCATAACTACACCTTATGAAGGTAATATGGCTAATTTTGATTATTCACCACTTTTGGAATGTCACCGTGTGCAATCTCAAGGACGTGTACTTGATAACTCACATATTGAATGTAATATTGTTGAATCCTCATGTCCTCAAATTCAACGAGTACTTCGTAGAAGCACTCATGAAAGTCATCCACCAAATTGTGGTACCGGAGGCCACAAAGGACATTGACATGAATGCAAGTGTTTGTCTGTATGTGTCTCTTGATTTGTATGTGCATGTAGATAGACTTGGATATTTGTTTAATGTAGTTGGATATTATATTTTTAGTTGGAATGTTATTTAAATTAATTGGATATTATATTTGTACATATTGTAATGTTATTATCAAGAATGTTTGTTTGTATAATATGTACAAGTATTGTATGCTGAATAATAATAATAATAATAATAACAACAAAATTAATAATAATAATAATAATAATAATAATAATAATAATAATAATAATAATAACAACAACAACAACGACAGTAATAATAATAATAATAATAATAATAATAATAATAATAATAATAATAATAATAATAATAATAATAATGCCAGCAACAATAACAACAACAATAATAATAATAATAATGGCAACAACAACAATAATAATAATAATAACAACAACAACAACAACGGCAATAATAATAATAATGATAATAATAATGACACATAATAATATCATGGTAATTTTTTGATAAAAAAAAAAATTATCTTACAAGCATAAGCATACGAAAATGAAATGACATCAAATTATATATTTTTCTCTGGATATTTGTTCAAAGTTAAATCAACAACAGCTGCATATCTTGCATATGTTCATCAAACCTGCATAATAAAATGACATCAAATTATGTTCCGAACAAATTATTGTTCAAACAAAAAAAAAAAGAAAATTCGAAATTTTACTTTGATATTTTTCGCAAGCCATAACGATTTCTCTTCATAAAGTTGGTTATTTGCTTCATCGCATTTTCCTCCATCTTCAACCTATACATATATACATTTCAAAAATTATGATTACTGGCCAACATTATATTTTTAATATATCCCTATAATAATTATATGCAAAAAAAAAAACTTACTTCCACTAAATGTAAGTCAATAGTTGCGACTCGATAATGCTTCCTCGGCCGCTTTTGATTGCGCTAGTTGCCTCACACGTATTTGGCCCTGATCCATTTCATTTCGAATGCGTGTAGTGCGATCATGACCTCTTCTTTTAATCCTACGTTGGGTAGGATTGTATACCAATTGAACCGAAGCTGATTCCCAAAATGACTCATCAGGATATGCATGAAATTGAACAGTATATGTGTTTATCCATGAATCAATTGAGTAATAGTCACGCACGTATCGTTTTCCATTCAAATGGAACATACGACACACCTCTAACATATGTGAACATGGTACCCCATCTAATGCCCATCGACCACAAGAGCAAAACTCTTTTTTAATCGAAACAATATGTTTTTTTGATACCTGGCCAACACTATCAAGTGTAAATACCTTTGCCTCATATTCATCTTCATTTAACATCACTGCAATATGTTTTAGGCTTTTTTGCTCTGAGTCAAGATACTTTGTGCGTGCCCATGGGGACCACTCATAACCAGAGTCTTGCTTATCTCGAGCATCATGAAGTCGTTTAACGAAAAAAGCAACAACTCGATTGTACGTCAATTGTACAAGAGCAGTGATAGGTAGTCGTCGAGCCCCTTTCAATACTCCATTGATGCATTCAGAAAAATTGGTTGTCAATATACCATGTCGCCACCCTTCATCGTAGGCAAATGTCCATTTACTCTTCTCAATTTTTATAAGCCAATCATAAGCTGCCGGCTTCAAAAGCTGGATTGTCGCAAATGTTTTGTTAAACTCTAACGGATCAATGGATGCTCCTGCCCTCCAACACATATCTTTCAACCTTACATCTTTAATTTTTTGGTTGAAGTTAGAACATATATGCCGAAGGCAAAATCGATGCCGACCACGAGGTGGGTGAAATGTAGGAATACGATCAACTGCATTCGTGATTCCAACATGTCTATCTTAAATTAGACATGTATGATATCTATCCTGCACAATATACCTGCATACAAAATAATCAAATAAATATCATTACTACAATTTTCAAAATATATATAATTTACAACCTAATAAACTAAATTACCTGCTTACTAGCTGGAGAAACCACATCCAAGATTCAGTACTCTCTGCATCAACAATGGCAAAGACTAATGGCAACACATGATGGTTGGCATCTATAGTAGCAGCAATCAACATAACATGCTTGTATTTTGCATATAAATGAGTCACATCCACACTAATCAAATTCCGAAAATGACGGTATGCCTCAATACAAGGTCCGAATGCCCAAAACACATATCCTAATGTGTATTTCTCTTGATGCGCTACTTCTACATGGGCCCACTCAAAAATTGTATTCGGTATGTACTTTTGAAGTGTCTTTATATAAGCTGGAATTTTTGTACCGAACTCTCCCATGTCCCATAAACATGCTCAATTGCATATTTTAATCCATGCCATGCCTTTGAATAAGATATATCAAAACTATATTCTATTTTCACTGCTCTTTTCACATTCGCTAGCTCGTATGCCGGATTTCTACTAACAAACCCTTTCAACAAATCCGCTATCATGTTAACATCCAAGTTGCTATGCTCCAAGGATGCATTATCCGGAATACACGTGTGATCAGGCATCACCGTAATAACTTGCCAACATTCCAAGTGTGGCTTATATGATGCAGTCACACCCCACCCACAACAATTTTTTCCATAATGCTTACATTTTACCCGAAAACTGTATGGGTGCTCTTCGTCACCGTATATTCTCTCCCGACCACTCGCACCGAGTAATCCTTTATAGCCATTTGCATTTGCTTTTTATCATTGAATGTTATCCCAGAAATCATAACAACATTATTTTTTGTGTACACATTCCATTTGAAACTAGGAGTATCGTATGTATCTTGTAGAAACTCTTCCCGAGGCAAATTCTGAAAAAAATTCAGTCGAGCGATGTTCAACCTCACCCCCTGAAAGTGGTATGGTGTGTGTTTCGTGACATCTCGATGACCCTAGATTTGGCCATTCTACAACACCAGTATTTTCTCTGTCATCATTTTTTCCCCTGCTATTTCATCATCTGATTCTGACAGTGATTCTGGCTCACTACATTCATCTTCACCGATTCCCTCACAATCAACATCTAATATTAGTAAATCATCACTTGTTGGATCATGTATTCTGTTGTAATCCACACTAGGAGCATCAACAATTGCATTTTCAGAATTTATTTGGAATTCAACAAATAATTCCAAACACTTGTAATCATTGGTAGATTCAAGAAATGCTCGAGATTAACCGTAGTGATGGTAATTAACCTCGATAATTGAATACCATGGTTATGTGTCCAACTGTATGGCATTTTCAAAATAATAGAATACTGACGTCGATCTTTTCCGGTCGCATTAAAAATAATACCTTCTAAATCTTCAAGTGTACTATTACGTCCAATAAAAGTCATATATTGAGGATTACAGTCATAATCTATTATTCCTGAATTGCGAATAATATTTCCACCCCAATATAATAAAATATCAATATTGCTATTGACACTGGACATTTATTCAAAAAGATAATAATAAACTATTAATGCTACATTCATAAACAAACACATAAAATTATATAAAAATTAAAAAAATTATATTTTTCATATTAAAATTATCAATATCAAAATAAATAAACAGTAAATAATACAACACGATAAATATATAATGCATAATATTGTATAAATATATGAAATTTTTTCTAACATTTTATGAAACTAACAAAATATTCTAAATCCATCCAATTTTTTTTTTTAATAATACATAAAATTTACATGAATACATATAAGAAATATTGAAGAAAATAAAAAGGAAAAGAAAAACAAAAAGAAAACTTACCGAGGAGGATGAAGTTGTGGAGAAAAAAATTATCGTATGAAAAGTTGTGATACAATGAATGAAAAAAAGAGTGAGAATATTTGTGTTATGAATAAAGGAGTTCCCAAAACTTCTTAAATTGACATTCAAGAGTTATGAGAACTCTTGAAATTGCTATTAAATTCAGGTTGGTGTGGGCTATAAGTATCTACGCCAAAATGGAGTTCTCAGAACTTCTTAATTTTGCAATCAAAGAATTTTGCTAACTCCTCAATTTATCAAAATTAAATAATTTATAGAACTAGTATGAAGTCTATTTTTTTAAAAAAATAGTTTTGACTTAGGACATTATTTTTAAAAACCGTTTATAAAGATGGTAAAGTACGTATAAATATTTTTCACCTCTATGTGACTTTACACATTTGCCTCCGCAATTGGGTTTTTTTAAAAAATGACTCAAGTCAAACATTGTTTTAAAAATCTAGTCTTGAAAGGAGTTTTGAAAACTACTATATTTATAAAATGTAAGAGTTTTAAAAACTCTTAAATATAAAAATATAAGAGTTTTGAAGTAGTTTTAAAAACTCTTATATTTTTAATCATAGGAGTTTTTGAGAACTCCTGTACTTTTAAAAATAATTGACCAATTATTTATTTTTATAATCTTGTAAAAATCAGATAACAATCCGTCTTTAAAAAAATTATAAAATGAAGGATTGATAAATTATTTATATATTTATTTTATTCAAAAAAATATTTGAGATATTTTATCATTTTTATTTGTATAAAATTTGCATTATTGAGTTCATATTTACAATCAAATATCAATTTTGGACGAAAATGGTGTTTCGTGCAAATTTTACATTAACACAATGAAGTTTCACGTAATAAATAAAACACCTTCGGAGTGTTTTATGCATTTTAACTAAAACACAATGGAGTTTTATGTAATATAATTTACCCTTTAAACTTTCTTAAATAATTTTGTTGTATTTCAAATATTTATATATGGCATGTCTTTCATTTCTTAAGTGGATTTTCTTTTCAAAAAATCATACATGAGGGTATTATTTTTTAGACTAAATTATTTTATAATCTTTATACAATATTTTGTTTTATATTGTTAGTAAGCTATTTTTCTTATATAATATATATTTTTTTGTATGATTACAATATTATTTTTATATGATATTTATTTTGGCGTAAGTTTTAATAAGTTAGTTGTTTAGTATTTGTAGATTGTATTTTGTAATATCTTATTGTTTATTTTGGTATAATTTCTAAGTTTATATTTATTGTATTATCTAAATGTATAATGCATTTATGTGAATTTTTTATA